TTTTCCTCGCTTCTTTTTTTAGGTCTTCATGTTTCTTCTTTTCACATTCATTGGCTCCCTACGTGCAAGAGTAAATTTCGAAATTTATGGTATGTATATACGTATAATAATACATAAAGAATATATATAACATAAAGTAATTAATTAAATCCAAATTTACCAAGAGATTAGCATAAGCAAGAAAATGGTCTCCCCAAACAGAAGGATGATGATTGGCACACCGACGTATAATCTCTGCCTCATCACCAAATCCATCCATTTTTCTTGTTCATTTAGGTGAAAGAAAAGAACCAACATTTTGATTAAATAGATGTTAGTTGGATATTCAACGAGCTCAACTGACCAACTTATAATGGTCAAAATTCAACTCTGAAAAGATTCGTTAAGAAAATACTTTTCATAAAAATAAATAATTTTATTTATTTATCATCCTGCATGCGCTTTGTACGTAATAAAATAAAAAAAAATTATCTTAAATTGTGAGTAACTTGCCTTTTTTTGTTCTCGACTCTTCACAAAATTCGAATTAATGGCTTAGGCTTTTGTAATTTGCCTAAAAACCAATAAAGTGAATTAAGTATACCACTAGATTAATTAATATTCATCATATAATAAAGTGTATTTATATGTAGTAGTACTAATTAAGTAACAGCCAACGAGACGCATTTGACAATATAGAGACGTGTATGAACCAATGACATGACCAATTCAGGTCCATTTTTGTGATCTCACTTTGAATTCTCAATTGGTTTTGTCCTAACACTGGGTTGACTATACGTGCCAAATTATAATAGCGGATTCGAGAATGTAATTAAAGGGTGTCAATGGTTAAAGTAAAACATATAATTATGAGAATAGAGGGCTATATCATATATATACGACCTCAAGGAATTTTCATAACTTAATCACTATATTTATTAAAATTTAACCTTTATATACAAGATAATTATCCGATGAAAAGTGTCGCTTGCAATGGTGTAGCTACACACACTATGTCGAGGGTGTTCGAATATCTTATTTAATTATATTTATATGTATATATATACAATGTACTTTTTTGACAAAGAGAATAAAACGGACCACACAAATAACATCTTTCTAGCCGCCTAAAGGAAGTATTGCACTTTGGTGCTCAGCCAAAGTTGATGTGAACGTCATGCACGTGAGTTCAACTTCCAATATTTTATTTTTATGTTTTTAAAAAGCTATTAATTAATAAATCTGCTATTTTTTTTTCTATAATTCAAAACTAATATTATCTATTAAAATAATATTAAATTAAATATCTGCAACTTAAAATTTTAAAGAGAAAAAAATTTAGTAGCCAAAATTTTTAATCAATTTGACTTTTGAATTTTTTTCTATTCATTAAATTTTTTAAAAAAAATTAAAATTAATTATTTAATTTAAAGTTATTAAGAAAATAATATTTCTTTTTTTTTCTATAAAACTATTAAAAGTGAAAAAAACTTCATATGAATTTTCTTTAAAAGAATCTTGTTTGATTCTATTCTTTATTTTTTATTTCTCAGTGAAATATTTAATGTAAGTATAAATGTGATATCATTCTAAATTGATTCTTTTAAAATTTTATTTTAATTTTTTTGTTCATTCACTTCCTATTAAATTAAATGAATATGAATATTCAAGCTAAATATTATGTAGTTTGCTTTTTAAAATTTTAATATATTTTTTAATTAGAAATAACATTTATTTTTGTTACGTAATTTGATTAACAAAATTTTGGAGCACTGATTCGTTAATTTTTTTTTTATCTATACAATTCTTATGAAACTTCTGACTCCATTATTAAACTCGCTTGACACCCATTACCCAAGGGTCGGTCCGCCCTTGAGCCAGAGCAAAGCGACTCAATTAAATTGGGGTGTAAAACCAAACTTCAAAAGAGATTCTCCTTCTAAATTATGATCGAAATTTCAGAAACACATCTTAACTAAACTAAGGTCTTATTACCCCCTCAACTTATTTTTTTTGTAATTTTGTGCACCTTTTGTTTTACGTAGCACATTCTGTGACTTCACGCAATTAAGACGCGCGAGAGATATTTAAATGTCACGTAAGTCAAAAAGGTGCACAAAATTATTTAAAAAATTAAGTTAGGAGATAATAAAACCTTAATTTAGTTAAAATATGTCTCTAACATTTTGATCATAGTCAAGGGGTACTAGTGCATTTTTCTTTTAAGACATCATGCTATATATTTTTTTAAAGCCAATTTTTCTAGTTTTTTTTAAATGTCAAGCCATTAATTATTAGAGAAAATTGGACGGAATATAGTCTAATTTTTTAAATCCAAAATAACATAATTACTTATTACGTAAAATGACAATTTAGCCAATGCCATTAAAGACGGCTTTCTATCTTCTAGATGTCTTCCTCGTCACCACCAAATCCATCCATTGTTCTTCTTCTTTTAGTTAGGTGAAAAAAAAGAATCAAAAATTGATCAAACAACTTAATTTTGTTATGGGTATATTGCGAGTTCAGAATCTAAATAAGTCATAAAAAACAAAAATAATTAAAATAAGTCATTATTTTAGAAAATAACTAAAATATAATTAGTAGAAGAAAAAATTTCCCTTTAATCAATATTCTAAATATTTTTCGTTAGTCTCATAATGTGTATATTTAATATATAATGAAACTATTTATACACTTTATAAAGTACAAGTTTTTCTTAAACTTTGTAAAGTGAAACTTTTTTTCTTCACTTTATAAAGTGGAAGAAAATCTTACACTTCATAAAATGAAGGGAAAAAAATTATATTTTACAAATAGAAATATTTTCACATTTTGAAGCTTTACAAAGCTTTTGCAGTGTTTGTCATACAATTACATTGTTTTGACATATCATAAAAATAAAAAAACTATTACATTCTAAAAACTCCTCCAATTTCGATTTAACGACATTCAAACATAGTACCTTCAACATTTTTAGTCTTCTAATTTTCTTCATTTCAATCACAAAAAAATATATTCTACTCCAAAATTAAAGTTTCAACTTATTAGGATAACAAAATTATACATGACTGAAATATCGTTTATTATAATCGTCATAAATGACTTCTTTTTCCTTCTTTCTTCCCATATATCAAAGGCATTGCATTTATAAATTGACAATTTGAATCGATAATTTGGTTATTGGATAAATAGTTCAGGTTAATGGTTTAACGGTTTGAGTCTCGATTTATTATAAACTCTTTATCGACTTAACACAAATATATGGGTTCAATAATAAACATAACCGCATAATGAAAATCAAGTCATGAACAATACATTAGCTAATGTCCATATGCTTTGACATTCTCGAATTACAATAACTTTTCATTTGATAACATTGATACTAGTATTTATTTCTTTCACACTATTGATACGTGATTCCTCATCTTTTGTCCTTACCCATTGTATATCTCATTTTTAATTTTTAATTAGAAAAAAAATGTCCATACCTCAAATATTGAACACGTGTCATCAATCTTCAAAATTCCATCCTTTCGTAAAGCTTTTGTACGTTCCCAATTTATTAGATATGCATTATTCATAAGTAAATGAGTCCATAAACACCATATTGCTATACTTCTAGCTCGGACCCCAAAATCACCCAAAAATCATAGAATCTAAATTTATAATCAAGTTTCAATCTTGATTTGATTAATAGGTCAAATCTTATATATTCTAATTTTTTAAATCTAAAATTAAATCTCAATTTCTTCAATATCATGAATATAATGATATTCATATAAGATAACATCCCTAATTTTATTATGTATACCAATATATCACAGTTTAAATTATAATATGATACCATACAACAAACTATAACTCCAAAAGAACAACCTTATACAAAACTAAACTATATCAATAATTGCAGTTATGAAAAATTATATACAAAACTAAAACAATATTGCAACAATTCAATCCTACCTATCATCATTTCCTAATTATTATCATAATTATCCTATAATTATTGTAATAATTGACCATTAAAAAATTTCACAATAATAGTAGAGAACCCATGTTAACCCCACACCAATTGTGTCAATAATTTCCCAACCTCGTACATGTTCGCCATCGTTTGACGCCACACTAGATATTGTAATCTATGATTTCATCATCTTCTTCTTCTTTGAAAAATAATTATAAATTAAAGGGATAATGCACAAGTACCCCTAAATCTATATCCGATCAATCAATATTGGACCCATAAGATAGTGTCACGTAGATCAAAAAGGGATGGAAAATTATTAATAAAATAAATTCAGCGGGTAATAAGACCTTAATATAGTATAAGTGTGTCTCTGAGATTTCAGACATAGATTGAGGGGTACTTGTGCATTATTCCTGAATTAAAAGTGCTTAATTTCACTATTTTATTTACTATTCAAGTGAAATAACACATTAAATATAAAATTAAATTGATTATTTAAAAGAATGTGAATCTCATATGCATGTGAATCATAACACACAGATACATACAAATACATGTATCTAGTGTAATTCACATTTATCTGGAAAGCAAATATATATATATATATATATATCTTTCTTAATATCTGGTAGAAAACTCTTGATTAGTGATAAAATATAATGTTATGTATATATTTTCAAAAAAGAAATGGCCGTTGAACATTGGTCATACCCTTCTTTTTCTTCCTTTAGATTTTGCCATTAATGACTTGTTTTTCTTTCTTTCTTCCCATATATCAAAGGCATTGCATTTATCAATTGACAATCATAACACCAAATATATTAATACAACAGCTGACACAAAGATAAAACAACATCAAGATACAAAATAGTAAAAACAAGCCACAACCTCCATAAAGAAGCAACATCAGATGTTGTTCATGCACTACTACTTTTATTTATTATTTTCCCTTCATAGTGAAATTCTCTCATGCTTTTATAGGATCAATTAGCACCATAGAGATGACGTCTTTCAAGTTATTTTTCGAAAAAGTATAAGCATCTTCGTCTTTATAAAAAAACTCTGCCACCCTCGTAAGGTTGAGCACTGGCATGAGTAAAACTCTTGGTACTGTTGTAGGCTTTAGGCATCCTCTATTCAAATCCTTCCAATTATTCTCTATTATTTTCCTTATCTCCATGTAAGCTTCTTCTTTTGTGGCACCATACTCGTTCATGTAACATTCAATACCCGATGCTACATCTCCTCTTTCCACTTCTATCTGTATCCATAATATAATTAGGCAAACAAGTGAAAATATAAAGAAATTATACCCTCATAATTAATATTTGCGCGTACAATATAATACCTCATGTGTTACGAGATCATTGAGTAATCTTGCAATGATAGACGAAGCTACAAGAATTGTAGGTTCATTCGATATCCAATCAAACGCATCCTTAGTTGCTACGTCTCCCATGCCTAACCAAGAAGTAGTGGCAAGCAATAGATAAGTACTTGATGGAATTCCATTCTTTATATATTGTTCCATTGTTGGCACATCCTTCCCATGATACCATTTGGCCTCTTGGAAGTAAGCCCTCAACAACTTTTTCATCTGAAAAAAAGTAACAAGCTTTTAATCTTGACTATATTTTCATCATTCAGTAATAATTCTTGATTACCTCATTGATGGAATATTTGACTCTATATGTCATCTTATTTCCAAGATTTTCCAATTCTTTCTCCGTTTCATTGTAAACTTGTACAAGAGCACGGTAGGAGAGCTTCATATATGAAGGTAATTGTTCCGAAGCATCAATGTCCCACC